AGGCTCTAGGGCAGTTGTACAGATAAACAAACCGGGCTAAGCAGTAGAAAAAAGCTCATTAGGAAAACAGACTGGCAAAATGTGACAACAGAGTGTAATAAGTGCTTTCTTTTATTCCGTAATTCAACAAATAATAACAGAGCACTTAACAAGTGCCAGAGCTGGAGTAAAGTTTTGCTTCAAGTCCTGTGGGCTACCTGCAAAGACCAGGGAAACTTAACAGAAGAGCCTGCAGCCAAGCAGGGATTTGGAGGAATCTTTTCCCAAGGTCTTCGTCAGATAAGCTAAAGAGGGCGGGCAGGACAGCAGAGGGAACAGCGTGTGCTGGGCCTGGAGGAGTGTGTGGGGCTGGGAGAAGCCGGAGATGAGATAATGGTTGGGTGCAGATGTGCATAGCCTTAGAGGTAGACTGAGGAGTGTAGACTTGGTTCAGAATGCATTTAAAAGACACTAAAGGTTTTTTAAGCTGGAACAAATGGGGTAAGAGTGCAAAATACTGCTATTTAAAACAATGCAGGCTTCTCATACACATCTATAACTTGGATTTGCTAGCTTACTTAAAAGAAATGGTTTGACTGATCATCCCCCACCCCCTTTGCCCTTGACTGACAAAACCGCACTGTGACCTTGTTAGGATACAGTTTCCAGTCGTGTGGCAGGTGGAAGGACAGTATAGACCAATGGTTTTTAAGTGACTAATTGAATGTGAATAGAATTCATCATGGGCTGTGGCCTGGACAAATCAGTTCAGGGTCCCTGCTTGCTGCCTCCCTTACCCAATTTCTTTCAGAAGGACTTGTTAGTGAGTCTATGGATGTGATCCCTCTTATCAGAGTATTTGTCTGACTTGCTTCAGAGCAGGTAAGCAAACCCAAAAGATCAAACCCTCCATGTTCCCTTCAGCTCCTGAAGCTACTCTGCATTCTTTTTTATCCTTCCTCAGGACTCAGGGACAAATAGGTCAGACCATGGAATCATCTCAGTACTAAGGACTATAACCTTCTGGCTAAGAAGCTCACAAAAGAAACATTCCTTTGCAATTGGGAAAGAAGGGGATTCAGCCTAAGCCAGTGGTTATGGTCATAAGCTTCAAGCCAAGTCATGGGCTAAAAATGTAGATTTGGGAGCCTCACTATAGACCTACTGAATCAGAATCTGGGGTTAGGCCAAGGAACCTGTGTTTTAAGCACTCATTCCCAGATTATTTTGATGCCACTGATCTGTGGACCACACTGAGCAGTTCTGGTCTGTGGTGCCCATTGGCAACTATTTTGGGGGAGGGAGGAGGACTGGTCAGATGGGCCCCTGGATTCGCAATCCTTCAGTACAGTCAGCTTTTAAATTTTGCACTATGCTTGGTTTTCAATTCAAGTTATTTCTAGGTTAACTTCTTAATTGAGCTGTTTAGCTCAGCCAAGGATTTGAGATACCACAGATAAAGAGAGAGGTTTCGGAGGAAGCATTAAGAATCTCCAGCTGTGTCTCTGTTATCCTTTCCAGTCCCACTTATCTGAAGAGCCAGGATTTCTCAAAGGACAAGTAACCTTGGAGGGAAGTATCATTGGGAAAGCAACACAGTACCTTTCCTTGCCATGCCCATTAAAGAACTATGTTTGTTAAGAAAAGAACCTCAAAAGACACATCAAGATGTTGTATAAAGATACTTCCCTCTTCTGTGTTTGCCAGCTCCTGGGATTACAGTAGCACAAGTTTAGACAAATAAGACCCATTTCTATCTAAGGTATCTGTTCAGGTCTTGATGCACTGGAAATCCATGTGGCTAACTCATTAGTGATAACAAGTGTTAGATGCTCATAAATCTTCCACAATTCATTGGCTGAAGACATCTTAAATGTGGACTTATGGGTTTTATTGTCTTTGGTTGCTTCTTTAGCATACTCTGAGTGTACAGATTTGGGGTTTTGAAACTTGTTTTTAATTAAGACATGGTTTATTTTTATTGCTTGAGATAAAATGCAGGCTGGGAGACTCAAATCTAAGTTACAAAATAAAGTGCATCTGGGCAGACCATAGGAAAAAAGATAGAACATAAAGGCTGAAGTGTGTGCCAGGATTCTCAAGTTTACTTAGTAATTTCTTGGGGAATAAAAATCCCAGCACCTGCATTATAAAAAAAAAAGCACACCTTATAAATGTCCTTCTCTTTGAAATACCTAAATGAACTAGACTGAATTATAAACTAATGGCTTGTAAAAATTCACCTTGAGTCAGCTACTGAAGATACTAAATAAAAGAGGTAGAGACTCCGAGGAAACCCAACCTGCTGCTTGTTTGTTTTATCAGTAATGTAACTCAAAAGTAGCCAAGCCAATGGCGGATGGTGGAGCTTTCCCTGTGTTTTGTTTCCCTGAGCTGAGCCCGTGAATGCCAAGATTTAATCTAAAGAGGTTTGTGTTTTAAAAACTAACAACCAAGTAATAAAACACCTATAAAAGGGATTTATAATGGAACCAGTGACAGTTTTGAGTGTAGTATTACAACTCTTCTGCTCCCCCTCTCTCTTTTTCTATCCTTTCATGCAACTCTGTGCCCTTTGTCTTAGCTCCTTTCTCACCTTGCTGCCAGGAAGCATATCAGTAGGGGCAGCTCACACTCCAGAGAAGCAGACCATCTTTAAAAAGTGAAGTGTGTGCTGAGCTCTGCATTTGATGACTGGGCTGTGCTGCTTGTTTTGTTTGAGATAAGTTGCTCTAACAAAGTACCTACCTAGTGTGTACAGTGGTTTCTAATGGGAAGTTGAAGATGCTGCTGTTGCAGTGTCAGTGCCATGAGGATGCTAGAGTCAACCAGGGGACTCCTCTCCCTGGGACCATGTGTCACCCTGCCAGGGCCCAAGATAGCCCTGGGACAGACTTCAGTCAACAGGTGGTTTTCCACCTAGGCCACCATGCTTGAAACTTGGTTCTTTTACAAAGCCATAGTTCTCCTCCCCCTCACCAAGAAATGGCGCCTCGGAAGGGAAACTTCGTACTCAAACTCTGTAGGAGCCATTTCTCGAGCCTACTTTTTCTGTTTTCAGAGGTTTCCCCTGCCAGCATCCCACCCATCTCCGGGAAGAACGAGGGACTCTCTCTTCACAGTCTGGAGGGCGATGGGAGGCATGTGGGCAGCGTCAGAGTGGCCTCGCCTGGGCGGCCAGAGGAGTCCCCAGCCTCCCTCTTGTGGGCCTCAGGAACTCGGGGGGCCCAGGGGAAGCCTGGAAAACCGAACTTCGCCATCAGCCTTCCTTCGAGCGCTGGCTAGAGGAGAGGGGGAAGGGCCCCCCAGCCGTCTCCCCCCGCCCCCCAGCCCCTCTGCCATCCGGCTACACCGCCCAAGAAAGCACTGAGAACGCAGCTTAGAGCTCTCCAGCTCCTCGCAGGCCGGGAGAGGGCATCTTGAGGGGCAGCTTCCCCCTCTAGCCCGCGTGTGACATCCCCACTCCCACCCAAGGATGCCGCCGCCGTGCCCTGTCCGCAGTCGCTGAATGTCACTACTCCCTCTTCCTCCTGATCAGGGTAGACACAGCTCCTGAGGCATCCCCCACCCCCAAACTGCCGCGATTGCCCGAGGGTACAAGGCCCGGGCGGAGGACGAAGTTTGGGGCCCACAGCGGCGGGAGGGGGGGCGCGTTGGCGAGGACCGCACCTCCTAGTCCCAGCCCTGGCGGGCACACTCCCCGCCCCAAACGGCCCAGGCGTCCCCATCCTCCCGCGGACACCGGCATCCCCGCCCTCCCCCGAGGGCGGCAAGCGGAGCCCCCCAGGGCGGAGGCAGGTACCCCCGGGGCGGGGACTGGGGCGGGCGGGGTCCAGGCTGCGCCCCCGGCCGGGCCGGGCGGGCTAGCTGGCGGCGCGGGGGGAGCGGGGCTGGGCGGCGCTGCCTCGGGCTCTGTGCGCTGCAGCCCGGAGCCGAGGAGGAGGAGGCGGAGGAGGAGAAGGAGGCGGCGGCGGTGGGTCCCGGGCGGGGGGAGCGCGGCGCTGCGGACCCGGGCGGCTGGCAAAGGACGAGGCGGAGGCTGAGGAAGGCAGCGGGGAGACCCGGGCTGCAGCAACAAAGGGCAGCAAGCGATTGGCCGGGCTGCAGGCGAGGTTAGCCGGGGACCGGGGTGGCTGGAGGCAGCGGCGAACGGTGCACGTGCTTGCAGACACTGGCGAGTGTGCAGCCGGGGGGGGTGCACGCCCGGCGGGTAAAGGCTTGCTCCCCCTCGGCATGGGATGGCGAGGAGGGTGCAGCTACATCGTACTGCCCGCACCCGGCCTGAGGCTTGCAGGATAGGGGTGCGTGGGGGGTAAGGATGCGAGCCAGGGGGCGGGCGAGTAGTCGCCCGGGACGGGACGGGAGAGGGTGGAGGAGGGGGCGGGATGGAACGCTCCAGGAGGCGCGCCCGTCCGCGCGCTCCACCGCAGGAGCTGGCGACTGAGAACCTCGAATTTTAACTTCGCGTGCCCGCCCGCGCGCGCCCGCCCGCGCCCACCCCTAAATCCTGCGGCCGCCGCCAGCGATCAGCTCTCACACAAACTTTAGCTGCGGGCTAGGGGCTTTGGGGTTGTGGGGGAGGGGAGAGGGAATAGGCCGTCTGATTGGCGTCGTCTGCAGCCAATAAGGCCAAGCGCCTCTCCTGCGAGTAGACCCAATCCATTTCTAGAGGTAGAAGGGGCGGGTAGGTGGAAGTAGAGGTGGCGCGGTGTCTGGGAGAGAGAAAAAGGGCTGGACCAATAGGTGCCCAGAAGAGGCGGGCCCAGAGGTCTGTTGATTGGTACTAGCAGTGGACCCTCCCCCGGGGTGGTACCGGAGGGGGGGTAGGATGGGTCGAGGGGTGTGGCTATGCGGAGGCGAGATGACCGGCAGGATCCTACCCCAATGGGCTGCAGAGTGGTTACTGTGTGGGTGACGGACAGACCCTTAGGCCAACGGGTGGCCCTAAGTGTCTGCGGTCTAGCCCAATGGGGCAGCGCCGGGGCGGGGCCGCAGCTCGGGTTTAATGAGACTCCATTGGGCTGTAATCAGTGTCATGTCGGATTCATGTCAACGACAACAACAGGGGGACACAAAATGGCGGCGGCTTAGCTCCTACCCCTGGCGGCGGCGGCAGCGGTGGCGGAGGCGACGGCACCTCCTCCAGGCGGCAGCCGCGGCTTCTTTCTCAGGCAGCGGCAGCGCCCCCAGCAGGTGCGGTGACGGTGGCGCGCGGCCAGGTCTGTCACCCACCCCGCGCGTTCCCAGGGGGAGGAGACTGGGCGGGAGGGGAGCGGGCGGGGGGGGATATCGGGGGCTTGTGACGCCCCTCCCACAGGCCTCTGCGCGAGGGTCACCACGGGGCCGCTCGGGGTCAGGCTGCCCCTGAGAGTGACGGTAGGGGGCGGGGGAAAGGGGAGGAGGGACAGGCCACGCCCCTCATCGAGGCCTCCAGGGCAAGGGGCGGGGCTCGAGGATGGAGGAGGCGGGGCGATATGGGGTGGGGGCGGGGCTCGGGTGGTCGGAAGGCGGGGGTTTGGAGGGGTTTTCTGAGTGGGAGAGATCCAGTAGGAACGGTGGGGGGCCAGTGAGTGTCTGGGAAGTACACGCCCAGTGAGGGGGTGGGTGGGAGGGGAAAGTGGAGGTGTGCAGGCAGGTGCAGAGGGGAGAGTGGGAAGAGTGCAAAATCGGAGATGTGGAAGGGGGACCGAGGGGCAGGTGAAATGGTGCAGAAGGGTGAGATTACAGTTATCTGGGGGCAGAGTAAGAATGGATTTGGGTGTGGTAGATGTGGAGTAGTGTTGAGAAAGCGATGCAAAGTAGATATTGGATTGGAGGAAGTATTGGGGAAACTGAGAAACACGTACAGTTACTGTGGTGGGAAGGAGGTATGTGGGTGAATTGTTATGTTGGAATAGGAAGGCTTGCTAGCTTTGGGGAATAGGAAGCATTAAAAAAAAAACATGGAGGGATGGGACGGATATTCTTGGGAGTCTCTGAAAGGTAAGACAGCACAGCAGACTTAAATGTGAAGTGAGGCTACTTAGAACTTAGATATACGCAAAATATATCTAGCAGAAAATCTCATGGGGTCAGGGGATTGGAAAGGGTGACAGGTGTGAAGAAAGATGGGTGGGGCTGGGTGAATGTGATTTAGACTGCACCCAGAGTGAGGATGGGGCAGCAGAGAAAGATGTTAGTTTGGGATATAGGGTTGTTTGATAGGCTGGATTTCTTGGGTGTAACTTGAGCTGGGGTCAGGAAAGGGGGAACAGGGTGTCTGTCTCAGAAGGAGGCTCCCTCTGTACTACCTCGGGAAAGGGCATTGTGTAGTTTTGAATTTGTAAGTACTTTGGTCTGAGGTGAGTGCAAGGAGTGGTGTGAGACAAGGGGCAAAGGCAGAGGAGGGGTTAGATTACAAACGTGGAAAATAGGGAAAGAGAACCAATGAAACAAGTTGGGGGTGGAGGTGCCCAGAAGTTCAAGGTAAAGAGAAAGAGTATATGAAGACTCTTCCATATAGGGACAGGAGGTGGGAGTAGATAATGGGAATGTTGGGATAGTTATGTGGTACTCCAAAAAAGGTATGTGTTTGTTGGCTTGTTTGTTTTGTATGACTATGAGTAAAGTACATTCTTCCTGTCTGTGTACCCTAGATTTTCTGGGATAGACCTGAAGTAAAACACTCCATTCTTTTTTATTTTATATCAATTTATTTATGTATGTATTTATTTTTGGCTGCATCGGGTATTCGTTGCTGCACGCCATCTTTCTTTAGTTGCTTGGAGCGGGGGCTGCTCTTTGTTGTGGTGCGCGGGCTTCTCATCATGGTGACTTCTCTTGTTGTGGAGCATGGGCTCTAGGCGCGCGGGCTTCAGTAGTTGTGGCACGCAGGCTCATTAGTTGTGGCTCAAGGTCCTGGAGCGCAGGCTCAGTAGTTGTGGCGCACGGGCTTAGGTGCTCCGCGGCATGTGGGATCTTCCTGGACCAGGGCTTGAACCCGTGTCCCCTGCATTGGCAGGCGGATTCTTAACCACTGTGCCACCAGGGAAGCCCTCCATTTTTTTTTTATTCATAAATTCTTCACACATTTATCAAAATGAATTGGGGCAGGTTTTTTTTTTCATGTTTTTAAGAAGGAAAGCATAATGCATGTTTCAGTAAAGGTTAAGATTCTTACCTGAGAACTTATACTTAGGGTTGAAGGTTGAGAAGGTGAAGCGATGATTAAAGAAGAAAAGCAGAAGAAAAGATAGAGGCAGAGGAAGGTTTTAACATTAAAGGAGGAACTTAGGGGAATGACTGGCTGGTGGTAATGACACGGTCCGTTGAAATTTTGCCTACCAGCCAAACCCAGGCCTCTGAGTAGAGTGGATGTTATGTCATTGCCGTTACACCAAATGTTTGTCTCTGCACTGCTTGTCAGATGTAAGGCATAACAGGAATGAAAGGTAAAATAGGGTGAGTATTGGAAGGTAGTTGAGAAAGTTCCATAAATAATGTTAATGTACTTCTGAAACTTTTATGGACTTTCGAATACCAGTTAAAAGACTTAGCCAACCGATATGGCTTTACTAAATGCCAGGGTTCCTCACAGGTGCTTTTCACTCTCTTAGATAGTTCTCGACACAATAGTTTCAGTTTTCGTGCATACCGTGTATACGGATGCCTGTAGTTTTATCAAGCGAGAGAAAAGGAATTGTTTTATGAAAGCAGGGATGTGTGAGCTGTAGTGATCCATCTTTGCTTATAGAACAGTAAATGACTAGTGGATGGGAGAAGTGTGAGGAAGGGATATTTCTTCCCTGTAATGCTTTAATTTGCATTTACAAAGCACCTTTAAGCACCTTTTTTTAGGACTCCCACAATCTTCCACAATTTTTGTATCATCCATTCCACTCTTGCTGGATATTTGAGTTGTTTCTAGTGTTGGGAAATTGTGAACTAAGCTGCTGTGAGTGTTCCCGTATCCATCATCTGGTGTGCACGTGCACAGTCTCTCTGAGGTGTACACCTAGGAATAGAACTGCTGGTTCACAGGCAGCGTGACTGTTTATGCTGGTTTATGCCTGTTGTCCCGGTGTAATTAGTAGTATAGCACCGTTAATTCTCAGCAGTGTCTGGATTTGGATGATGAGCTGTATGGTTGCCCTAGTCACGGGCTATGCTTGTCTTCAACTTTACTAGGTACCAGTCAGACTGTTTTCCAAAGTGTCGTACCACGTTATACTCCCTCCAGTATATTATCTCATATATATATATATGTGTGTGTGTGCATATATATATATATATATATATATATGCGATCCCTGGCTTCTCATCCTTCTCAACTTAGTTTTTTCAATTTAGGCAATCTAGTAAACTTTGCATTTACTTGATTAGTAAGGAGGTTGAATAGCTTTTCATATATTTATCGGCTACCTGGATTTCCTCCTTTGTAAAGTTCCTGTTTAAGTCGGCCCTCACCCCCACCCGCCTTTTTGTAAATTGGTCCTTGTGTCTTTCATTGCTATTTAGAAGTTCTTTATTTACTCTGGATACAAATTCTTTGTCCTGTGTGTGTGTTGCAAATGCCTTCCTCCATTCTCTGGCTTGCCTTTTCACTCTCTTTATGGTGTCTTTTTTTTTTTTTGCGGTACGCGGGCCTCTCACTGTTGTGGCCTCTCCCGCTTAGGAGCACAGGCTCCGGACGCGCAGGCTCAGCGGCCATGGCTCACGGGCCCAGCCGCTCCGCGGCATGTGGGATCTTCCCGGACCGGGGCACGAACCCGTGTCCCCTGCATCGGGAGGCGGACTCTCAACCACTGCGCCACTCAGGGAAGCCCTGGTTAGTGTTTTTTGTGTCTTGTTTTAAGACTCTTTTCCTACCCTCAGGTTAAGTAGATATTCTCCTATCAGTATTCTAAAAGCTTTACTGACCTTAAAAGATGTATGATTATGAGTCAGATACACTCTTTTGACCCCATTCTTGCCATTACAAATCTGTTTTTGCTTTTCTTCACTTTCTTCTGTTCTCTGTCTTGAATTTTTACTTGTCTGCAACTATAACTAAGAGCCAGGTGCTGACTTTCCCTGTCTCATAGGAGAAAATGGTCATATAAACGGAAGTTCAGCCAGGTTAGATTTTACAGGTCTCCAGCTGACTGTATTGCCCTTTTTCCTTTTATGAGCTAGCATTTTATTGTGTTCCTGCTATGTGTCTGCCACCATCCTTGGTTCTTTCATATTTGTTATCTCAATTATTCCTCTTTACAGTTCTGCAAAACTGTACATTTTTCTCATTTTTACAAGCGGGAAAACAGACTTAGATTGATTCAGTAACATGTCCAATATCCCACAGTTTAGGTAGCTGACAAGGTGGGGACTTGATTCCTGAACTCTCTAGATCCATCCCATCATAGCACATCACCTTGTTAACACAAGCCTGTTTGATAAGATCCAAAACCGATGAGAATAACTTTCTTTTAATGTAATATGTGCTACTTTAAGCACTCATAGAGATAATTATTGTGAAACCGGATAAAACTGTTGACCTCTCTGTGTATGTTAAAATAGGTAGAGTAGTGCGTGGACCTTAAGACGTCCTTGGATGGGCAGTAGAGGTTCTGTAAGCCCTTGAAATTGTATGCAAATGTCTGTATGTACATGTGTTCCTTTTAAAAAATAGATCTGTAATTTTCTTGAGATTCTCAGAGGGCAACCCTAATGTGTTTTAAGGCTTCACTGGATATCCTGTTTGAAGACATCTGTGATAAAGTTAATGCAGAATTCTGAAATGATGTGTATTTTCAAAATAATCTTTAAAAAATTCAGATGTCAGATTTTTTTCTTAATATGTCATTCTCAGTCTTTGTCATTAAAACCCAGCTAAAGCTCATCTGAGATTTGGAAGAAAACTAGGATTGAATAGCAATTTTTAAATGCCAAAAAAGATACTCTAAATTTAGTTGATTATTTCTTAAGTGAAAGTGCTTAGTTATAATATCATCATTACTAATCAGTGTACCCTGGCTCCAAAGGCCTGATGACTTCACATGACTTTTCATCTTGTCTCTAAAATCCTCTGTTTTACAAGGGATCAAATTTCCTGTGAGGTTCCTAACAGTGTGATTAAAGTTTAGAGACTGAAACTGTTGAGCACTTAAATGCAGGGATGACTATGCAAACGTAATTCATGGGCTTCACCAGGAGATTTGGGACATGTCTCTACTAATTTATGATGATGATATTGAAATTAATC